CCAGTCCATTGGACCCTTGCTTTTGCGATGCCCATGTCGCCGTCGCCGTTTCCATTCCAAGTCCGGTTCGGCAATGTTTGTTTGCGTTACGGTGGCATCCCGATTCCCCATGCCCCTTGCGGAATTCTGGCGTTGGTATTCGTAAAGTAGGGAGATAGTCGTACCACGAGATCACAGATGTGACAAGGATTGATATCGCAGAGAGGCACGATTGGATGGAAGCATAGCAACGATGAGACTGCACGAAAAGGGCACGGCATGTGTGTCGGAGGTTCAATCGGCAGGGGGGCCCGAACGGATTAGGAAAAAAAGAAAAAGTAGGGAAACATCAGCCACTTTTAACTTCAGCCCAATAGCCTTGTTAACCGCAGCGCTTGTGTCTGTCCTCTCAACTTCTTGGAGTCTCGACTAGTCACCTTGCCAGGAGGAGCTCTAACTTCCAATCAAGCCAGGAGATAGCTTCAGTCTCTTCTGGCGTGCTCGTTTTGATTCTAGAATCCCGCTCCATAGATCTCAGGCAGGTATGGGGTTCACGATACCCATAATCAGCCTAACCAAGATGACAGATCCTAGGCTTCCTCGGCCGGTGACCTGAACTAGGCGTTCCGTTGAAAGGATTCGGGAACAAGGCCGGCGTGCTCCACGCAAGGTACCCGAGCGCATCTTCCTTGGGGCCGTCGACGCCCGTACAAGGACCGGACGACGACCTTCTCTGCGCTTCTCTCGAGTTCACCGGTGACCTGTCAAATTCTCACGATGGTGGGGAACTAGACCGCCTGACAAATGCGTGACGGACTCGCGACCAGCTTCCCGCCGGCTCCCCCTTTCCGGCCCCCGAGTTCACCGTCCGGCCGCAAAATGTTCATCCACCTACTCGATACATGAGCCTTGAGGAAGAGCCACTCTGCCGCTGTCGTCGGCTGGTCCGCGGACGACGGACTCGTTCCAGCCGCTGCCGCTTGATATCGCCCCCAATTGAATGCCGCCCTCTTCAGTCTTCACCGCTGCTTCAGTGTTAGTCCTGGTCATGCAATCAATGTCTTAACAGTCTGCTGCTATTGGGCCATGTCACCGGCTGCTACCATGGCACGCCTGGGTTGGTATAGCCCTCTGCGACCTTATTCGCCATCTCCACACACACACACCTTTGCGGCGTTGCGCAACCCAACTCTCTCTCTTTTACGGATACACGGGCACGCACACAATCACACACACACACACACACACACACACACACACACACACACACACACACACACAAGGCACACCTCGCACCAACTCTCACCTGCACCGGGCAGCCATACGGCAAATCTGCAGGTCTGCAACCGCGTTTTCCCGTTCCGGCCCTACTCGACTTCCGGTCGCTGGCTTGACCGCCTTCTTCTAATCTCCCGCCGTCACAACCTTCATGCATGAACCAGCTAGCGCCTGTCAACCTGCCTCCGTTGAAATGCGGAAAGCTTGAAATTAGGAAGTAAACAGTTCTTTGAAACGCCGCTGGAGGATTTCAATCTAGAAGCAAGGAAAGATAATCGCAAGAAAAAAAAAGTCTGATCGCGCGTCGCGGCCCCGAGTCTCACCGTCTCGACGTGTCACTCCGGGAATTAATTTTTTTTCTCTTCCTGCTGCCTCACCTTGTCCCGACAACACACAATACCAAGGTTTTCTCTATAGACAGCTCACACAATGGCCCACAACCTCGGCGCTATTAGTGTCGTATTGCTCGATATCGGTGAGCGCCTTTCTTACCTGATGCCGAACTCACCGCATCCAGGATGATTCTGTTGCATTGGTGGATTCAAGTCTCGATAACATTGCCCATGCTGATTCGAGACTTTCCAAATATGCAGAAGGAACCGTTTGTCCCATATCCTTCGTCAAAGATGTGCTGGTATGTCGTCTCACCCCAAGTTCCTACCAACCACCCACCCCCTGGTCCATCGGGTAATTTGCGGCACCCTCCGGGTGACTTCCTTGAATTCTTCTCCGGTGGCACGGAGGTGGTTCTTTTCATTCCGAGCCGGGCAACCGTGCGCTTGCTCCCACGGCGGCACAGTCCCGCCGATTATCATTCCCGTGCTGATGTCTCGGTTTCCAGTACCCGTATGCCGTCGATGCCCTTCCGGCTACCCTAGACAAGCAATGGGACAATCCCGAGTTTGCAGTCTACCGTAATGCGTTCCCTGAGGACTGCGTGTCTGATCGATCAGTCTTCGAGGCGCACTTCCGCGACCTTGTCAAACGCGATGTCAAAGCATCGTATCTCAAGGCCCTCCAGGGCTACCTATGGAAAGAGGGCTACAAGTCGGGTGAAATCAAGGCGCCTCTCTTTCCGGATGTCGCTGAACGTCTTTTGTCCTGGAAAGACGCCGGCCTACGCCTCGTCATCTACTCCTCTGGCTCTGTTCCCGCCCAGAAGCTCTTCTTTGGCTACACAGATGCTCAGCCGGCGGACTTGACGCCCCTCATCTCGGGCTGGTTCGACACGGTCAACGCCGGCCTCAAGACTGAGCCCGGCAGTTATGCCTCCATTCTGTCAAACTTCGCCGACACCAGGCCTGAGGAATGGCTCTTCCTCAGTGACAACCCCAACGAAGTCACAGCCGCAATCAAGGCCGGAATGCAGAGCATTCCCGTCGTCCGCCCCGGCAACGCTCCACTCCCGGTTGACCTGAGCCCAACGTTGCAGCCGATCAGAGACTTCAACGAACTCAAGAGCCTTGGATCAAAACACTGATACGCGACTAATTTGACTTGCGGGGTACCCGACGACGGATGTTCCTCCTAGACTTTGGTAGCGCTATTGGAGACAAACCGGCATGGAAACGCCTTGAATACAGTCTGCATCCGGTGAACACCATCTTCAGCTTTCCCATCTCCGTCGACTGCCCAATTCCACATTTCTTATCCCGTCCTTCCCATCCCTTACTCTTCAAGCCAAGTCTGTTCTAGATGCCCGTCGCCCATTCCTCGGCTTCAGACACGTGGAATCTCATACCTAACTTTACCCGCAACAGCTGATAAGAGACCGGAAGCGAGATAGTCAACTTGTGAGAAACAGGCAGGTCGAAGCTGTTTCCAATGGAGCTTGAGACCTTGACGCCCCATTCAAACGCCAGAGAGCCCGCGGCAGCCGACCAAGTCCATGTTTTGTCTCGCATGAATTGCCGATTGATCTAGATGTAGAATATGGACTCGTCAGTCCCGTGAAGGGCAGGTGAAAGCAGCCGCGGCGGCCCCTCGCTTGCAACGGGCGCTTGCCAAATGCCCGGACGGCGGGGTTTATCGTGGGCTCGTCGTGCCGACGACATTCGTCCCACAATATAGGTCACCTTTGGCTTATTGGAAACGTGACTTCTTCGCGGCGTCCAAACGGAAGCGAGAATATGGACGATCGCCTGTCGATCGCTGTGAGGGGAGAACGCTTGGAACTTACACCTCCTCAAGGGCCGCCTCGGCGTCTGATCGTCCATTATTGCCCCCAAAAAGGCAACCAGAATCGTGATTGGGTCTCGTCTTTGATCACAATGGCAATAGTGATGTCCTGTTTTCAACGCACCTGATGATCTGCCAGCCGGCTCCCTGGGCCGAAAAGTTGATCCAATCTAGTAGCATGTAATCATGAACCTTTCAATGTGATTGTGAAGTTGTTACGATTCATGCCCGGATTGAGCTCCTTCTTAGCAAACGAGGGCAAGGGTTTGGTCGGAGCATTTGCCCACTTCCAGAATGAGTACACCAGCTTGTTGGTGGCCTTTCCCTCAAGTTGGACGTATCCCAATGCCGTCATGATCTCAACCAACCGATCCTGAGAGAAATACCGTGAGTTGTCAACACAGCTGCGAGGGAGGACCAAGAATAGTGAGGGGAACAGGGCGCGAGTAGCATTCGATAGATCGTCTCCGGGCTGACGGAGGAATGAAAGCGTGCGGAGAAGCATCTCACCACGGAGTGAGTGGTCAGGAACGTAGTTGACGACCAAGCTGAGTGAGATGATGTCAAACCGATCCGAGTCGTCCATTGGTAGAGGCCGCTCCATGAAGTCCTGCTGAAGGATGCCTGCCCGTTGGCTGTTGAGGTCGATGAGAGTCATGTCGAAGAAGCCACCCTTGGAGCAAGCGTTATCAGTACTGAGAGCGCCCACTTCGAGCATTCGCAATCGGCGATGCGCCCCGCCCTCGCTCTTCCCCTCACTTCGAGTGTCCTTGGACTTCAATGGCTGCGGATCGGCTGATCGCAGCCAGTCCAGGAGGACTCTCGAGCTGTCTCCGCCGCGATCTACTCGTTGGCCTTGGAGACTGGCTCGCTGGTACTCCTCGAGCCCGCCGAGGGCAGAAATTTCGGCTGCAACCGCTGCTGCCTCTCTCTCATCATTGCGAGCCAATGCTTGCTGGCGCTTCTTCTGCAAGGTGTGATGAGTGTTGATGAGCGTTCTGGTCTCCTTGCGAGATATTGACTTTGCTTTTTTGATAGTAGGAGGGCGGCCTCTGGACAACAGCTTGTTGGCGGGCTTGGTCCTCCCCATGTTTCTGACGCTTGTTTTGGAAGGAGGAGAGCGGCCAAGATGAGGAGCAAGGGGGCTTTGATTTGCGTTTCTGGTTCGCTTACTTTGAGTGAGCTGCGGATATACTCAATGAGATCAATATCAAAATCGACTTTGCAGGTGCTTGGGTTTTTTTTCTTTCCCCTGCTTGATGAGTGTAAGTCGAGCCTTACATAAGCGATCTGTTTCCATTTGGCAAGTGCCAGGTTGAGTGCAGCTTCAGTTAGGTCACCTTACCTTAGCCAGTGACGGCGGAATGATTTTCCTGGTCACCTTCCCCCGCTTCTCTATCCAAGATAAGATAACGAATCGGGATGCACAGACCAGCTCAGCCCTAAGCCCACAGAAGAGAAAAAAAAACATTTGACTTTCGGAATCTCTTCTTTCTGCATTCGACCTCGACACCGACGACAACCCAGCTAACCCGCCCACCCAGCCAACATCCCCATCAGTCACAATGGCCCCCAAGGACTCGAAGAAAGGTACTTGAAAACCAACTCCCGGCAGCAGCAGGAATTACACACTTGCGAGCGCAGCATTCCCAATCATCAAATACACAAAACACACAATGGCTACTCGACAAAATCTCTTGTTTCGTCGACAGCAACGGGTAGAACGGTGACGGAACGGGGGATACACCGACAATCTCTACGCCGAAGCCTCTCTCCCGGAGCATCATGCTACAGCAGATTTTGCGAGTTCTTTTGAAAATAAAGAGCGATTGCTGATGCGACATCTCTACTCTAGGCGGTGCCTCCAAGGCGCCTAAGGGCTCCAAGCAGGCCAACAACGCTGCCAAGGCTGCCCTGAAGGGTGTAAGTACAAGCAAACATACTCCTCTTCCCGCGACTTTCCAAGACGACGAAAACTTCTCGTGGTCGAGGGAGGACGGGCACCGTCTGCCACAACAAGCCGAAAGCTGACAGCATCTTTCCTAGGCCCACGGTCACTACAAGAACAAGGTCCGCTACACCACCTCGTTCCACCGCCCCAAGACCCTCGTCGTTTCGCGCGCTCCCAAGTACCCCCGCAAGTCGATCCCTCACGAGCCCCGCCTCGACGAGCACAAGATCATCGTCCACCCCCTCAACACCGAGTCCGCCATGAAGAAGATTGAGGAGAACAACACCCTGGTCTTCATCGTCGACGTCAAGTCCAACAAGGCCCAGATCAAGCAGGCCCTCAAGAAGCTCTACGACATCGACACCGTCAAGATCAACACCCTGATCCGCCCCGACGGCTCCAAGAAGGCCTACGCCCGCCTCACCCCCGACGTTGATGCTCTTGACATCGCCGCCACCAAGCTGGCTCTCGTTTAAAGCGAATATTACTTTCGCGAAGGACGGAAATGGGAATGGGAAATGAAAAAGCAAAAAAGCAATTCGGGTTCATTGACTGTAAAAGGCATTGGCATGGGCGTCTCAAGGTTGTTGATACAGATTCCCCAGGAGTGGCATCTCCTCGAGGGCACCAATCGATTCTCCCGGTACTCAGGCTGGGGTACCATGACCGTGTTCAGTCTCGAAAAATGCACATGAATGTGGAATTCATTTCCTCCCGTGACCATTTTAGTATCTCAAACCGCAAACTTGGAGTGTGAAGTAGTTGTGAAATGTAAGATGACATGATGGGATTGCCATTCTTTCTCGTAACATAGTTATACATATGCTTGTACATGAGTAACTTCCAGATGGAGTTCTCCTACGCCCTACTATAACCTGAGGTGGTCTACCATGTCCCCCTCGAGTACGCCGTTATGGAGTGTTCCGTTTTCTGTTTCCTATTTTTCTAGCGTGCGTGATCCGACGGTTGTCTCCGAAACTCTTTAACCAGAACGCATGTTGTTCAGGTGCTTCATCGTAAGGAAGTTGACGTCAAGGAATCTGTCAACGCAGTTGGCCAGGCATCCCTCCTCGCCCTTGTCCAGCTTTGAGCCGCGGATCGAGCCGCCGACGCACTTCTTCCAGCAGATCTCGGTGAGAGCGTGGGTTTCTGTTCATGATTCTGAATTAGCTGCCAGTTCCCTTTTCTTTCTCTGCGCCATCGGGTTGGACCGCGTCCGTGTGCCAATGCCTCCCATAGTCTCTCATCGCTTCCAGTTCTACCGTGTTCCTCCTATCATACGATTTCAGTGAGAAAGAAGTATACTAACGTGACTGAATCTGAGATCTCTGCTGCTCGTTGGCAAGGAATTGGCGGAGCTCGAGTTTGTCCTTGTCGTTGAGCTTGTCAAGGTCCGAGTTCTCGAGCGCTGATCTTGAGGAGTCCATCGTGACGTCTTTGTGGGATTTGCCAGGTAATTGACAATACGTTGTTCGCTAGCAATTGCGAGTGCGTGATGGAGGAGCGTATGTTGGTTGCGATGATAGTATTGGAGATGGTCGAAAGGCTTGAAGCATTTGCCGTTCCGTGCTTCTTGCGGCCAACTTTTTTTTTTTGGGTGGTCTCCACTATAACATGGTCGTCTCCCATTGGCCGGGTCTGTGCGTAGGTGTGAGAAACTCATCATTATCATCATCGAGGCACTCATCAAAGGGAGGCACTATAATTGTGGAGTATTGCAAACATCTGTCTCGGCTCCGTGGATATTGACTGTGGGTTGAACAAGCCTTGCTGGTTTGCAAGAACAAGCAAGCACCAGAGTTGCAAGAGACATATCTCGAATAATATCAAAGCCATTTCATTTTCTCTCGTATCTACCAAGACTAAGACTAAAGTCGAACGATTGACGTATCAGTACCGTTATCCAATCTCATTGCTTGTTTTGTTGCTTGCACAAGCCATCACAGTTCTGCTCCATACCATCCTAGTATAACGGTATGTAAGGAAATCAAGTCGTAACTTTTACGACAGCGCCCTGATGTGCTCTTCAGATGTACTTGTATTTGCGAGCCAATGTCATGCTCACAACGCTGAAGAGAATCAAGCTTCCAAGGATGACAAAGAACGGAACAAGGGAAGTGTCCGCAAAGGGAACTGGGACGTTCATGCCGAACAGTCCACAAACGAGGTTGAGCGGAACGAGAATCGACGCCAGGAACGTGATCTTGCTGAGTACCAAGTTCGTGTGTGTACCCTGAGAGATGCTGTTGATGGAAAGCTGAGCCAAGTAGTTACTGTGGGAGCGAGACAGAATCTTTTCAAAGTGGCCGAGGTTGGTGACCATGGTGACGACGTGATCCTGTATATCGCCGAGATAAAGTCCAATGTCCATTCGAGGTGTGACCTTGTAGTTCTCATTGCAACGCTTGGTAAAGCCTCGCAGGACATCAGCTTTGCCTCCAAGAAGGCGCATGAGAGCCATGGTGTTCTTGCGCACTCGGCCAATAGACCGCAGGAACTGGTTCGAATCGTCCTCGCGGGCTACGAAGACGCCGTCCTCAATGGCGTCAGCCTCCAATTCGATGTCGCGGATGACTGGGGCAAAGCAATCCACGATATCGTCACTATCAAACAAATTAGCACTAATAATTGTCTTTGACTGTGTCCACTTACATCAGAGCATAGCAAATCCAGTCGCTGCTCAGCGCAACGTAATCCCTAAGCAGGGCAATACGCTTGCGCACATGAGAAGCATGGGCATTGGGCTCGAAGCTGAAGCTTAGAGTACCCTCGCGAAAGACGACGACGTAGAGGTTATACGGCTCATACTCCAAGCCATCGTCCTCTTGAACCGGGGTGAAGGATCGAAAGCTTGCAAAGTAGTATGAAGGAAATAACTCAATCTTCTCCCGCGCTTCTTGCGTCGTGATATCCTCAATCGTCAAGGGATGAATACCAAACGCTTTGCAAATGGCGGTTACCTCCTCCTTGGTAGGACTGTTAACGTTCAACCACCACACTCCGTCGGACTCATCAGCGGGGAGCGTGAAAAGGCCCCGAAGATCCTCGCCAGGAAGAACCAAGTCCCCGAGTTCTGCTGCGTGGATCGTAGATTCCCAAGCCGAAGAGAAGAAGCTGAACCGGTTGGGGTCCAGGGGCTGCTGGGTAACTGCAGGCTTATTCTTGGCATCTTCGGCGGCATGCTCCTTCTCCGAGATCTCCTGCTCATCAGAGGTGTCAGATGGCATGTTGACGATATCTCCATCAACAGTGCTCAGTTGCAACTGAGGCTGACCCTCAGACGTCTGTGTCTGTCGCAGGTCTGGGAAAGCACGGAGAGAATCGCGGCGACTAGCCGTTCGCGATGCCTGATCCGACTGGACAAAATTCTCCAAGTAGTCGAAGTCGATGTATAGCTGGTCCTTGCGCCGGGGATCTTGAAGAGGGAAACAGACGTCTTCCTCTGCTGACTGATTGGTGGCCAAGCTGGCGCCGTCATCCACCGTATAAGGCCGACTGCGGTGGCTACGACGGCTGCTAATTGAGCCAGCGCGATGCAGGTTCTCCTCACTGCCCTTCCTCTCGGCCTTGGACTCGGAGAAGGACATGCCACGCTCGCGACGGCGTGCTTCAGCAAAGGCTTTGACCGAGTTGGGTGGAGAGATGGATCTCTGGTCAGTGACCGTCTCAACGGTTGGTCGACGAACCCGTCGCGCATGCGGCGAGACGTCACCTCCCTCATCATCGACAATTGCCTCTTCAAAGTCCCGAACCCTGATACTTGGCGACCGCTCTCCAGAAACCGAGTCGGGTCCAAGCAGGCGCGCTCCATAAAGCGTGTCGAAAGTACCTCTTCGAGGCCGCTCCGGGTGAGGGCTAGTGGCAACCTGATGACGGTGGTCGTCGAGCTCAGGGATCGGCGTCTTGAAGCCACCCTCAGAGATGTTCTCCTCGTGGTCAGACATGTTGAGCTTTGGTGCTGGAAACTAAGGGTATTGCTTGGTTCCGCAGCCAACGAAAGTATTAACCCGCTTGTGTGGGTAGCCCGGTTGGTGGAATGGGTTGTAAGTCTCAAACTCGTTCCTCTTCGAAGGCCTCCGCAACTCTTGAATCAGGCGGCGATACCCATAACTGATGCGTGTTCAATGTAGACCGTAGCCGAATCGCACTCCGCGCGGCCGGCGCGGTGTGCGCTGAAAGAGTAGCGAGCTTCCAGGGTGGCTGTGGTCGTGCCAGTACCCTAGAAGATGCGTACACGCTGAGAAGACAGCGTTAACGCGCAAGAATGCTGTGGATGTAATGTGATGTTTCCAATGATTTCTGTTTCGATATTGAAACCTGATTACGGAGGTTTCTTGTGCACTCCGCTGTAGACCCAAAAACCAGGACCTCGGAGTGAACAGGTGGGTGAGGTAGCGTCAGCTGCGAGTGAAGCCAACTTGGTGGTTTGGAGTGTCGGGTGGAATATCAAGTGGGTCTTTCGACCTAGGAAACTCGAAAGTCGAATGCGATTCTACTGTCTATCGCAGCAGTTCGAAAGATACAATAGTATGTAAGGTCGACGAGGTGATTGTTTGTTGTTACGAGCGGTGTTAAGGGAATCGGAGAACGATCGAGGATTAATGGTCGTCGGCGAGGTAGTGCGAATGGTGACCCAAGGATGCGGGACTTTGTCTTCGTCGTCCGGAAACAGTATGCGATTGTTTTGGTAGGTCGCTAGATCAACCACCAGAACAAGATCAGACTAATCTGATGAAGAAAGCTGCTCTGACTGTTGCACAATCAAATGAGCGAAAGGTTGGTTTGCACAGAAAAAAAAAAAGGAGTTGGGACGACAAGTTTTTTGTGTTGTCCTGAGCGTGTTGAGGGTTTTTTTGAAATTTTTGGTGGTGAATGGAACCGAAAGATGACGGGGACGGCCAGAAGGTGATCAAATGCAAGGGAAGATTTCCCGGTTCTGAGTGAAAATCCGACTTTGGAGCCAGTGAGTCGCTAAGGTAGGTGGCGGCACAGGCCAGCCGAGAGAGACTTTTTTCTCAGGTTCCAGGCCAGGATGTCTGGGTGTGTCATACCATGGTGTGGAGCTGCGGTGGCACCGTGTGACCCCACACAGTCCGCTAGCACTGTTTAGCCTGTGCCCCATCGTTCGCCGTGTGTTTGTGCTGCATCCAATGGCAGCTGCTGAAGCAGGAACATGGTGCCGAAGTGAGCTTGCAAGCCAGACCTGAGGACCTGAGTCCGTGCTCGACTTGCTTCGGATATGGCATACCTGTTCCTTACCTAACCTTACCTTACCTAAAGGTAAGATACCTTACTTTGGGACTTTACACTTGCCCCTACCACCATAATACCAGATCACCAACTGCTGATCGCCTCGAGATCACAGACCGAACCAAGTAATCGGGCACACATTTACGGTCCGACATCCTGCACCTACGACTTGGCAAAGGGCTTGTTCACCACACCGATCCATCCTCCAGCGCATCCCCCATTCTCA